AATATATTTTATATATGAATAACACATTTTCTTAAATATATACGTGCATGTGTGTGTATTTATATATAAAAAATAATTATATACAGCACACACAAATATATTATGTAAACACAGACTTTTATTTTGGATGCGATTAATCGCAATTAATTTTTGCACAGCCCTACCTTTTTCTTATAATTATGACTAATGATATTTTAAATGCCACAATAATAATTTACGAAAGCATGTCGAGGGTCTTCCATAAGAAATATCAAGTCCTGAGCAATAGTCTTGTTTTCCACAGGACGAGGCGGCTTTGAACCGAGGGAATCCATCAAAGCCATCTTCACCGCAATCGAGAAACATCTGAAGGAGCCGAACTCCTCCTGCTTCCGGAGCATCACCATCGTGGCCTACGAGCAGGATCAGAAGACCTTCGATGACTTCCGGGAATACTTTAAACAGTGGAACAAGGTTAATACTAACAAATCAACAAAAACAGTTTCCAAAAACAAATTTCTTTTTCATCATATTCAGTTTGTTCAATTTGTTTTCCTGCAGCCTGCATGCAACAAGATGCCCGAAAATCAAGGTTTCCACAACCTCCTCATGCTTATTTAGCAAATAAATATGGTTTCAATGTAATAGTTTTGGCATTTCAGACTTTCTCGTTCCTCTATAGTCAAAATCGGGGGCGTCAGAATTGAGGTGAAGAAAGGGGACATCACTACAGAAACTGTCCGAGGGATCGTGAACACCACCAACAGAGACATGAGCCTGAGAGGAGGTCAAATATAACTCAAAATACACAACACTTTCATATGAACACATCATTTACTCTGAAATAAGCCATAGATCTATCAGGGTTTGATTCTCGTTATTACACTGTTCCTCGTTTACGAAACAATCGACAGTTAAATGCTCAGAACAAACATATAGTATCAAATAATATCACAGTTTTTGGAGCTTGATTAAATAAAATTAGGGCTGTGCAAAAATGAATTGCGATTAATCGCATCCAAAATAAAAGTCTGTGTTTACATAATATTATTTCGTATATATAAATACAAACACATGCATGTATATATTTAAGAAAATGTGTTATTCATATGTAAATATTTATATTTATATAAAATAAATTATGTATTTATATATATATACAGAATTTAAGCCCAAATAATTCTTAAATATATACATGCATGCATAGGTATTTATATATACAAAATAATTATATACAGCACACACAAATATATTATGTAAACACAGACTTTTATTTTGGATGCGATTAATCGCAATTAATTTTTGCACAGCCCTAATTAAAATAAAATAAAATGAAACTTGCAGGATGTTTTAATGGTACAAAGACCTCTGATATGGCATATTTAATTTATCATGACTCATTTAAATCTTCACGCTAATGGTTTAAAATGATAAGTTCATAATATAATAAGAAACAAATCATGGACTCTATTTGCTGTCATTGTCCTGGACTCTCTTTGCTCGCGGTTTAAATGGCTAAAAATGCAAAAAAATGATTTTCTTACTCAGTATTTTAGTCTTGTTTCCAGTCCAAATATCTAAAAATTCTTAAATCAAGACGCATTTACTAGAGGAGTAAAATGAGAAGATATTATGTCCTCTTTTCTGGTGGAATGAATCAAAATTAAGCGAGTTGATGCTTAAAAAAAGCAAACTTATCTGCCAATGAGGTCAGAAAAATAATCATAATTCAAACAGAAACAAGATTATTTTTCTGACCCCATTGGGAGATATTTGCTTGTTTTAAGAATCAACTCGCTTAATTTGTATTTATTTCCCCATAAAACAAGACTTAATAATATCTTTTGTCATTTTTTCTCCTCTAGTAAATGCATCTTGATTTAAGAAATGTTTGATATTTGGACTGGAAACAAGACAAAAACACTGTAGTGTACACCGAAATATGTTTTAAACATGATGTTCAGTGTGTGAAGCTCAAAAGCTCCTTGTTCTTCAGGTGTATCGGGTGCCATATTTAAAGCAGCGGGAGCGTCTGTGGAGCAGGAGTGTCAGAAACACGGTGAGAGAATGTTACATAACACATAATCGATCACATGAGCAAGAGACGCCAGGTGTGATTGGGCCGAACTGAGACTGAAGTCAGTGAAGTCAAATCAATAATATAACCTAATATTAATTGAAAAGTATTTGTACTTTTCTGTATGTTTCTGAAACATAACGGTTCATTAAGTAAGGGATTTTTACACCACTGAAAACATAGTTATTAGGGCTGGGTATTGACACAAATTTCACAATTCGATTCGATTTCGATTCAATATTGATTATTTTGGATATCAGTTACAATAAATAGCAAATTTTCTCAAGGATATCAAATCTCTGAACTAATGCTGTAAACTATGGGAGTCTAGTTGTAGCCTATAGGCTTCATTAGCCTAATATGAAGGTAATAATGAACTGTTTTGTAGCTATACACACTTAAATTACACTTATTTAATTTTATAATAAGAAGATTATATGAAATATAAACATTTAAATGGTGGCTGTCATAAAAACTTGCCAGATTTATTCAAATATGCATTAAATATTGAAGAACATTAAGATTATAATGCATATGCAATATGGTGTATATATTTAGCAAAATATTTTTTCTAGCTGACTAGCGAGTTTATGTGGGTTTTCTGAGGTAAATATGACGATGACATTGATTACAAGCTGTTTAACTGACGTCTTTCCACGGTTGAAACGCTGATTGAGCGAATCAATGTGACATGATACGGATTTCGATAAGTTGTACTCTATCTTTAACACACTTTCAGATGCTCACTCATGTTTATTTGGCGCGGTAACTGGTATTATTAACCCGGAAGTGAAATCAGCGCTGCTGCTTCGCCAGAGCGATCTCACGCCACAGCGCCAAAACGCTATTTATGTTTTATGTTGAATTTCTAAAGAAAATGGACGTAATTTGAAAATTGAGACTTTGTTTCATATCAATAGCAACAAAGGACAGAGATTATTGCGATTTTTTTTGGATGCGCGCAGCCGCGAGACAATGCTCCATTCATTCAAATGAAACAGGATGACTAATCGATTCATGAGATTTAAGAATAGATATCGGTTCGTAAAAATGAGAATCGATTAGTATCGAGAAATCGATATTTATTACCCAGCCCTAATAGTTATGTATATGCTATTGCATTTCCGTCAACAGATCCTCCTAAATATTACACACTGCACCTTTAAACAAGCATCTGACGTTCTGGTTTCTTTATCTGTGAAGGTCCGTTGCAGAACGACGTCGCAGCCGTGACCAGCGGCGGGAACCTGCAGTGTGATGTCATCATCCACATGGTGGGCCCGCACTCGGCGGCAGAGACCAGATCCCGCGTGAAGAAAGTTCTGGAGCGCTGCGAGGAGAAGCAGATCACCACGCTCTCCTTCCCCGCCGTCGGCACCGGTACGAGCGCCGGCTGTTAGAGGCTCACTCAAATCAAAATTGATGTTTTTTAGCTCTTAGTATGAATATGATAGCCTTAAAGGGGTCATCAGATGCACAATTTACTTTTATATGGTGTTTGCATTTCCACACAACCACCATACAATGAAAAAAATCCATTCACTCCCTTTTTTTTGGCCTAAACACTCTCAATAATCAAGCCGTTTGGATTTTCTGAGCAATATGATGTCATATTGCTTATGCTCCGCCCACTACATAGCTATAGCAGCTGCTCATTATCATTTAAAGAGACATGCACCAAAACGGGTCAAGCTGTTTATGAGGAGGTAAAAAGGATGTTTTACACAACCATTGATGAATTTTAACTAATGTATGTAACAAACTTTACATGAAGACCCTAAAGAATCACACCGACTTGTGGAAAACGGCATCCGATGACCCCTATAACCCTCTAGGCTTCTTCGGTCAAAAATGTTGAATAAAGTTTATAGACTAAAGTCGTTATTTATTTTTTTCGCACAAAAAGTATTCTCGCCGCTTGATAAATTTAAGGTTGAGCCGCTGTAGTCACTCTGACTATTTTAACGATGTCTTTAATAACTTTCTGGGCCGGAAAGTTTCGATCCCTTAGGAGCATATGGAGGAGTGATCCAGCTCTCAGATTTAATCACAAATATCTTAATTTGTGATATTACGAGTCTTACGGGGAACAACATGAGGGCTGACAGAGTTTTCATTTTTGGGGTGAACTATCCCTTTAAATATATTAATTTGATTCTGTTCATTCATTCCTTCGTTCCCTCATAAAGGTGGTGGAGGAGTTCAGGCTGCGGATGCCATCGCTGCCATGCTGGAGGCCTTTGAGGATCATCTGACTACAAACATCTCAACTGTGATCAAGCTCATCTACATTGTGATTAACCAGGATAACATCCTACAAGAGTTTCAGAGAGGTCTCAAAACATGGGCTGCAAAAGCACAGGTAGTGATGCCAACCAGAACCAGAACCATAACCAAGATGATTGAAAAAAGGAAGGATCGTTCACTGCAAAATGTTTTTTCTCAGCATTTTTGTATCTTAACATTCTTAAATCAATATATATTTACTGGAGTCTTGTTTTCTAAATGTTTTTTTTTTATTTTAATCAAGTAAGTTTTTGCTTAAAACAAGAAAAAATCTAATTAATTCAAAGATTATTTTTCTTTTGGCAGATATTTTTTTTTTGTTTTAAGCAAAAACTATCTTGATTTTGATATATTTTTTCAGAAAACAAGACTCCAGTAAATTTATCTTGTGTTTCTAATGTTTCTAATGGAAAAACAAGACAAAAATACTGAGGAACAACATTATTTTTGCAGTTTATTGTAAATGCTTTTGTGCACATTTAATTAACATCAACCCACAACTAGGAAAGTGAGGATGAGGATGGTGAAGATGATGATAGTGAAGATGGTGATGATGAGTGGGAGGATTTTAGCTCAATGGAAGAAAGCTCGTCGTCTGACCAAGAAGCTGATGCCAGCGGTAATGTGGCTTTTGACGACTTAACTTTTTATAAATGTGTTGCTATGCTGTAGATGTTTCATATGTGCTTACAATATTTACCAGGAAACCCAATGGAGATGATAATTGGCCCAATTAAAGTCAAGGTGTTTTCTGGTGACATCACCAAAGAGACTGTCGAGGCGATTGTTAACAGCACGAACACAAGCCTCAATCTGAACTCGGGTGAGTTTGTTTTTAATTAACATGATTATTGAACTGAACTGAATCAACATTGAACTGAACTGAATCAACATCAAACTGAACTGAACCAACATCCAACTGAACCAAATCAACATTGAACTGAAGTGAATCAACACTGAACTGAATCAACATCAAATTGAACTGAATGAACATTGAACTGAATTGAATCAACACTGAACTGAATCAACTCTGAACTGAACCAACATCGAACTGAACTGAATCAACATTGAACTGAACTGAATCAGCATCGAACTGAACTGAAACAACATCGAACTGAACTGAATCAACATCGAATTGAATTGAATAAACACTGAACTGAATCAACATTGAACTGAACTGAATCAACACAAAACTGAATCAACACAGAACTGAATCAACATCAAACTGAACTGAATCAACATCGAACTGAACTGAATCAACACTGAACTGAATCAACATCAAACTGAACTGAATCAACATCAAGCTGAAATGAAGCAACATCAAACTGAACTGAATCAACATCGAACTGAACCAAATCAACATCGAACTGAACTGAATCAACATTGAACTGAACCAAAACTGAACTGAATCAACATTAAACTGAAAAATCACACTATTGTCTTTTTAGAGCTGCAGAATTTGAATTGGTCTCATATTTGAAGAAGTCTGCATTATTGATTCAGATCTGAATTGTTATTTTCCGATCTGAATTGTATAAAGGGCAATAAAAATAATTATGTCTTTACACATGCACAGGTGTATCAGGAGCCATTCTCAAAGCATCAGGACAAACAGTGGTGAACGAGTGCAAAACAAAAGGTACTGCCTTAAAAAATATGGGCATTTCTGGCCCATTATAACCTCTAAGAGAATAACGTCTCATTCTTTCTCTCCTGAATAAAGCGCCTCTGCCGGCCGACGGTGTGATCTTGACCAAAGCGGGAAATCTTTCAAACATCAAACACATCGTTCAAATGGTTGGGCAGACGACTGAGAAGGGCATCAGCAGCTCCATGTATAAAGTTCTGACGATGTGTGAAGAAAATCACATTCGGTCGGTTTCATTCCCAGCTCTTGGGACGGGTAAGGTCATGCGTTCAGAAATACAGATGAGCAAAGTCAAATCAAGAGGTGTGGATGAAAACACAACGTTGAATGTCCTTTAGGAGCTGGAAACTTGATGGCATCAGGAGTCGCCAATGCAATGACTGAAGCTCTGCTGAAGTTCGTAAAGGACTCGCCGAAACACCTGAAGGTCGTCCACATCGTGATCTTCCAAGCCAAACTCCTGCCTGCCTTTCAGGAAGCGGTCAAAAAGTGCAAGAAGATTCCTCGGAAGGCTTCTGGTACGTTTCAGAAATGGTTCCATTTAGAACCAGAAATGGTTCCATCACCCGCTTCATACACAGTGTTGGGAGTAACGCATTACAAAAGTAATACATTACAATAACATATTACTTTTTGCTGTAACGCAGTAGTGTAAGGCATTACTAATCAATTTTCAGTAATATTTTACTCGTTACATGTTCAGTGAGGCTTGTATTACAGTTGTATTACAGTGTATGCTTTTACTTCTTTAAGGCAACAGACTATGTGAAAGTTTTAAAGCAGTCTTTTAGTGCCAGTTCAGAGCGGTCGCGTCTGTAACATTGATTTTTCCTCATAAATGCGAACACGAAAACTAAAATAAAATGAATATTTTAAGTTCTATGGAGACTGGAGAGCCAACCCTTCCTCATCCGATTTGCACAGTGTAATTCACAGAATTACAAAAAATATATTTTGACTCCTATTTTTTTTTTTTGTCACGCATGAATGTGTGTCTTTTCCCTAATATTAAAAATAAAACATAGACTGATATTTGTCTAATGTCTGGAGTCCTTGAAGGAAGTAGCCTATATACGTTTCAATGTATTTTCTGAGAATTTTTATTTCAAGTTTTGATTGCAAATGTCATGTCCATAATGCTCCTTAACTAGTTTTGTGGTGTAGGTCTACGTATTTTATAATGTTAACTTCAAATAATACTAATAGCCTAATTTAAAGATAAGGCAGCATTGGATCTGGACGGTAAGGAGAATAACGCTGGAGTTGGAAGAGGTGTGTCGCGATTCTGTAGGTTCGTGGATCTGAGTCGTGTGGCGAATCGCGATTTCGGTTTCATATTGCATATCGTTACAGCCCCAAAGTTAAGTTCTACTTAGTTATTTTGGTGAAAGTAACTCAAAAGTAATACATGAGTAATGTAACGCATTACAATTCTGAGACAGTAATATTGTAAGGTAATGAATTACTTTTAAATAACAGTAACAAGTAATACCTAATGTATTACAGTTTGGAAGTAACTTGCACAACACTGTTCATACAGTATATGGAACTCCAAAATGGTTCTATATAGAGCCATTTTTTTTTTTGGTAAAAGGTTCTATTGGCCAAGTATGGAACCCAAGGGTTCTATATAGAACCCGGAGGAACCCTTTTTTTAAGAGTGTATAGAACCTTTTAGGGGTTCCAAATACGTAGCGCTGATAGAACCTTTTCTTCTAAGAGTATACAATAGTGTTTTAGAAGTTTGTGATGTATTTTGTCTAGAATAATTAGTGCTGTCACTGTTCGATCTTTGAGACAGTGTGTGTTCATTGAATCGATTGGATTCCGCAGTATTTTAAATTTTGATATTTTTAGGTCAAACCGTTCTTGTCCGTCAGTCATATAATGGAGGTCTATGGTCACCACCTCAAAGAGCATGCACAGAGAAGTCTAAATTAAACATGATTTAATGACTCCTCCATTATATGACTGACAGACAAGAACGGTTTGACCTAAAAATATCAAAACTGAAGACACCTACATCTTGGATGCCCTTGAGGTAAGATAAAACTAGGGTAGCACCGATATGAAAATTTTGGCCGATACGATAACCAATAATTTATATTTGAAAGCCGATAAACTTAAATCCAAATTTTTATCTAATTTTGAGAGCCTGATTACAAAAACAAAAGTCTCACAATTAAATCCATGTCCATATGACAGATTTGCGCTGCACATGTTGCACCGAACCGTATTTTCATTTTTTTGAAGAAATTTCAATCATATTTCAAGAAATTCAAAAACATAAACAGTGCTCAACAAGTGTCTCAGCTGAAGGGAATAATAAATTATAAATATCTGCTTTAATATATCAGCCACATTTTCTTACCAGGCCGATAACGATAACATTAAAAATGAGCATATATCGGCCGATACCGATATGCTGGCCGATATATCGTGCATCCCTACATAAAACATACCAAAAATTAATTTCAAAGTGAACTATCCCTTTAAGAAAATTAGGCAAGAACAAAATCTGTCAGTGGGGTCGGAAAAAGAATGTAGTTTCCCCTTTAAATGAAGTGTTTTTTATGACCCCATTGGCAGATGTTGTTCTAAGTAATTTTGCTTCTTGCTCTCTTAATTTAATAATGTTGAGTATTTTTGTCTTGTTTTCCAGTACAAATATCTATATGTTTGAACTAACCTGGTTTCATGTGTATTCCCAACAGTACGTCAGCAGACGACGCCAGTGAGCCGAACTCGACTACCAACGCTTTGTCTTGCCAAAGAAACGGCCTCGGTCTCGTTCCCCGTTATGTCCGTTGAGGTTTACGGGACGTCCCATGCAAACCTCGCCGAGGTCAAGAGAATCCTAGACGAGCTGATCTCTGATGAGTGCGTGAGTAAAGACATCCAGTCAAGACACATCGCTGATCTTCCTGAAACCGACAAGAAGGACATCGTTAGCCTCAGCCGAGCCAATCAGGTCAGCGTTCTGGTGACCGGTCTGGATAAGCTAACAGTATCAGGGAAGAAAGATGACGTTTTGGACGCCGTGCTGAAGATAAACGGCTTCATGCAAGCGGCGCGAGAGCGAGAGACGCGAGCGGGTGAGGTGAAGCGTCTGCGGGACATGTTGTGTTGGGAACGGGCCAGAGGAGAGCGATGGGAGCCGCTGGGGAACGCCGTTAGCTACGACGTCGAGCTCGCGTTCCACCGTAAGCTAAAGAGCTTCCAGTACCAGGAGAACGGAGAGAGCTACACCGTGGACTTCAGCGAGATGACGCTCACTAACAGCAAGAAGGAGTCCTGCAGGATCAAGAGGACTCTGCTGGGAGACTCGGAAACCGGTACGAGTTAAACAACGTTTTACAAGAGAAACAGAAGCATGCTTTTCTTCTTTCGTATTTTAGTCTTGTTTCCAGTCCAAATATCTAAATTCTTAAATCAAGACGCATTTACTAGAGGAGTAAAATGAGATAAGATATTATGTCCTGTTTTCTGGGGAATTAATCAAAATTTAAAAAAAGTTAAAAAAGCTAAATTATCTGCCAATGGGGTCAAAGAATAATCAAAAAATAAAAATAATCATTATAAGCATCAACTCGCTTAATTTTGATTAATTCCCCCAGAAAACAAGACTTAAATCAAGATGCATTTACTAAAGTTGTAAAATGGCATTAGATATTAAGAATTTGTAGATATTATTACTATGAACTGCAAGGAATTATTTTCTTACTCAGTATTTTTGTCTTGTTTTCCAGTAAAAATGTCTACAAATTCTTAATATCCATGTACTGTAATTTTGCTTCTCTAGTAAATACATTTTTATTATACAACAGTATTTTTCTGACCCTATTGGCAGATCATTTTGCTTTTTTAAGCATCAACTCATTAAATTTTATTTATTCCACCGGAAAACAAGACTTAAATCAACATGCATTTACTAAAGTTGTAAAATGCCATTAGATATTAAGAATTTTTCGATATTATTACTATGCACTGCAAGGAATTATTTTCTTACTCAGTATTTTTGTCTTGTTTTCCAGTAAAAATGTCTACAAATTCTTAACATCCCTGTAATTTTGCTTCTCTAGTAAATACATTTTTATTATAAACAACAGTATTTTTCTGACCCCATTGGCAGATCATTTTTGCTTGTTTTAAGCAAAAACTCACTTCATTTTTATTTATTTCCTCAGAAAACAAGACTTAATATCTTATGGCATTTTTTACTCATCTAGTAAATGCATTTTGATTTAAGATTTTTTTTATATATATTTGGACTGGAAACGAGACTAAAATACTAAGTAAGAAAATATTTTTTTTGCAGTGGGAAAATATATATATCATATATATATATATCACTGCAAATAGATATACATTTGCACTGGAAAACAAGACACAAAATATTTGAATCAAGATACATTTACTTGAGGAACAAAATTGCCTTGTTTTTCTGAAAAATGTGTGAAAATTAAGTGAGTTTTAACTGAAAACAAGAACAAATAGTTGTCAAATAAACTTAATTCAAAGGGAAAACAAGATTATTTTTTCTAACTCCAATGGCAGATATTTCTCATTGTTTTAAGCATAAAGTCACTTCATTTTGGATCATTTTCCAATCAACAAAACTTAATATCTTGCTTCTCCTGTACATGTATCTTGATTTAAGAATGTTTAGATATTTGTACAGGAAAACAAGACTGAAATACTGAGGGAAAACGTTTTTTGTTTGTTTTGCAGTGTTGTTGTATGTCGTGAATGATGGCAGAAACTCTTCTTTAATTAAACTTCACTTGTTTGTTTCTCAGCGATCATTCATCCTCCTCCAACATGGACCAAAATGGATGGACGGGATTTAGAAATAATCACCTTACAATCAGATTCATCAGAGTACAAGAAGATAAAAACAGACTTTCTGAGCTCCAGTTTACACCAAGCTGTCCCGCCCCTACAGGTTCAGCAGGTGAAATGATTAGCGAAAATGACCATATTTCCCAATAAAAACATCAAGATACATTTACCCGAGAAGAAAAATGACTGAAGATATAAGTCCTGTTTTCTGAAACATTGCTCAAAATGATTTGTTTTTGCGTTTTACGTGAGTTGGTACATTAGCGCCACATGTAAGATATAATTTTTGAGCATTAATGGCAAAATAAAGTCTATTAATTAAGGAAGGCACGTTATTTTACCTTTGCACACTGTTGTTGACTCCCCTCGCCTCATTAACAATACATTCTGCTGAAGTTAACGAAATGATTCGTTCATTTTGATTCGAGATTCAAAGATCCGAGTCAGTAAAACGATCCGAACGGAACTTCCCAATATTATAATGGAGGCGCCCACAAGATGGCGCCATTCATCAAGGGAAAGTAATACAGATTATAGTTCGATTTTCTCCAGTAAATGCATCTTTATTTAAGAATGTTTTGATATTTCTACTAGAAAACAAGACAGAAACACTGAGGAAGATGTTTTTTTGCAGTGTGTGACTCATTAATAGTTTCACACTAATACGTCTGTGTTTATTAACATCTGAAATGTTGTGTCAGATTGACAGGATTCAGAGTCAGTCGCAGTGGCAGAGATACTGTGTGCTGAAACAGGCCGTGGATAAGAAATATCCCAAACAGACGAACGAGCGCATGCTTTATCACGGCACTACCAAAGACATCTGCCAAAAAATCAACCAGAACGGCTTCAACCGAAGCTTCTGCGGGAGGAACGGTACGTAACGACGTTGAATGACAAGAAAACAATAGCTTTTGAAATGATTCAGCTGTCTTGTTCGAAGAATCAGAAGTCAGATGTAGAATCTTCAAGAAAAAGATGAATCTTACTAAATTTACACTTAAAAGAAGATTACACTGCAAAAAGAGCTTATCTTACTTAGTATTTTTGTCTTGTTTCAGTCAAAATATCAAACATTTCTTTATTCAAGACGCATTTACTAAAGTAGTAAAATTACATTAGATTTTATGTCCTGTTTTCTGGGGAAATAAAAATAATGTTGTTGTTTATAATAAAAAATAATTTACTCGAGAAGCAAAATATTAAGAATTTGTAGACATTTTTACTGGAAAACAAGACAAAAATACTGAGTAAGAAAATAATTCCTTGCAGTGCATAGTAATAATATCGAAAAATTCTTAAATCAAGATGTATTTACTAAAGTTGTAAAATGCCATAAGATATTAAGTCTTGTTTTATGAGGAAATAAATACAAATTAAACGAGTTATCTCCCAATAATGTTGTTTCTGTTTGAATTATGATTATTTTTCTGACCCCATTGGCTTTTTTTAAACAATAACTTAATTTTAACGAATTCCCCCGGAAAACAGGATATAATATCTTATCTCATTTTACTCTAGTAAATGCATGTATGGAATAATGCATCATTATTAGGCCAGCACTCTTAAAATAAATTGAAGCCTGCTCCAACCTCCATTTACTCTAGTAAATGCATCTTGATTTAAGAATTTTAGATATTTTTGGACTGGAAACAAGACAAAAGCATTTTTTGCAGTACATGTAAAGTCACATCACCTTTATAATTGCGTGTTGAAAGCGAGCTTTACTCCAGTTTCTTCACGATGCTGACCTCTGACACGTGTTGTTTCCAGCGGTCGTTCACGGTGACGGCACATACTTCGCCAGAGACGCCTGGTACTCCTGTCAGGACCAGTACTCCAACGCCGACGACCAAGGGCTGAAGTACGTGTACCGCGCGCGAGTGGTGACGGGCTCCCTGTGCAAGAGCCGGCAGGGAATGAAGGAGCCGGATCCCATCAGGCCCGGTGACCCGCGGGCCGGCCTGCACGACTGCGCCGTGGACAGCCTAACGAACCCGTTCATCTTCGTGGTGTTCTGTGATGCCGGAGCGTATCCGGAGTACCTCATCACCTTCAAAACGAAATAGTCTGCGCATCTCTATCTCACACACTCAAAAACTGAAATCTAAGAAAGTAAAAATTATCTTAATTTTAGAAAAAAGGTTGAAAAACTCTTATAAAATACATTGCACACTAGACTATAAATCTCAACTTGAGGAAATTGGCGAGTGAATTTTAGCTCATTTTGGAGCAAGATGCACAGTGTCCTAAAATTATTCATTTATTGGGATGTTTTAAAGAATTTTAATCTATTTTCAGGTTATAATTTGTGCATCTTTAAGGTTAACCCTCAGGTGCTCTTCGGTCATTTCTGACCGAAAATTTTTCTGTTTTGAATTTTTAAAAATCACAGCTTCATCGGAATGTTACGAAACTTGGTGACTTTTATGGCATTATGTATGTGAACACACAAAAAAATTGAGGTCATGATCTGAGCATGCTAAGTGGTCGTAAAAAAAATAGTCACACTTGCGGTCTTTAGTCAAAAATGACCCCATAGGAAATGAATGAGAAATTGTAAAAAAAAAAAAAAAAAAAAATTGTGAATATTTGTTTGTAATTTTTTTTTATAAGAAATAGTTTTTGAGATTGTTTCAACTATATATACAAATCCACCAACAACAACAACAACAAAAAAAATGTGTTCATAAACAGCTGGGGAATTCACATGCCTCTCCATAGAGAGCTGTACATGCCATCTAGTGGTTACACCTGATTCTACGCTTTTTCTCTATACTGTAATTCAGTGGTTCTCAAACTTTTTCAGGAGGAGGCCCCCTTGTGTAGGGCGAATCCTTTTGTGGCCCCCCAAAAGAAAACTCATAACGAAAACATCCTCAAACGTACAATTTTACTTACAAATTTTAGATTGTACCAAAAACAAATGAATTTGTACAATGCTGGAACAACAGTTCTGTTTGTAGCTTTATGTCTTTGAATATACAAAATTAGTTAAATTGTACATTTCATTAAATATAACAATTTTTTATAAAAAAATGGTTTTGACAGTTAACAGTAATATTGTCTGAAAAGTGCAACAAAAATATTGAATACTGAACATTTGTGATGTTCATAGTAAAAGATGAACACTGAAAAATTAATTTGCTGATTGTAAAAAAGTGCATTAAACTTCTTACATTTTAGGTAGTAAATGACAGTGGCTCAAGTTTGGTTTGCAAATTTGAACAGCAATCTGTTTTTTCAGCAAGAAACAAAAAAAAATTACTTAATTACTAAATTACTCTACTTAAAGAAATACTTTTTCAATATAGAAGACATACAATTTTATACAAGTTTTACAATATAAAAGAAATCATGCAATGCAGATTTCACATAGGACAATACAAACTTACATACAGGTAAAATAATTTTTTTTAAAAAAATTCATATTCTAGAATTTCTAATTTTCTTCAAAAAATATTTTTTTCTGAAGGCCTAGACTCTATATTAAACTAAAATACTGCATTAATATATTTTTGAAAAAAATAATATATATATATATAGAAAAATATATATATTTTTCCATGGCAAAAATAAACCATAAATATTTATAAATTCAATTAAAACTGTCTCAAAATACTAAATTAAAAAGAATAAATATTATATAACAAAAATAAATTGCATTGGTTTTACTGGGATGGAGAAAGTTTCATTTTTAGGTGACCGGGAAGATAACAAGTGTGACTCCGAAATGAAGATCACCTGAGGGTTAAATATTCTAATGCAATGTTTTAATGCAACCTTCACTAAAATTACAAGTGTAAAAAACTTACAAATGAAGTAAAAACTGCAGTATTGAGCATTTTTGTCTAGTTTTAAGATCCAATAGCATTTATTAGTGACTAGATATTTATGCTATTTTTAAGAGTTCTTTTTGTGTGTGATTTTAGTGCACTTTACCTGGATTTAAGTTCATCACATTAAGTTGTTTCAAAAAGGGCCGTTTGTGCAATGCAGACAGACAGACCGATGCGAGAGTCTATGACTTGAACAAATGTTTCCAGACGCAACTTTTATAACCAAAAAAATCACTAATTAATTGGTAACACCTTACAATACGTCAAATGCGTTTACACTAGTTAATGCATGAACTAACAATGACTGAGCAATATATTTATGAATCCGTTAATATTCATGTTTGTCCACGGTGCATTAACTGATGTCATCAAATACAACTTATGATCTTAATCTAAACATTTACTGATGGATTTTCAAGATTAATAAACCCTGTAAAAGTTTTGTTCATTGTTAGTTTATTAAATATTACTAACAATGAGCAATACAGCATTTATTAATCTTTCTTCATACAGCTGATCATTGTTATCTCAGGTCCATTAAATAATATTAACAGATACAGCTATAATAATGTATTAATAAATGATTAATACATGCTGTAAAAGTGTTTTTAACAACAACATTTTAAAATGTGTTAACCTGAATATAATATACATAATCTCTGATCGTGTCTGGATGTTTTTTAAGACTTTTTATGGCAGTAATTTTGCTATATTGAATCCCTCTCAGGTGACATCGACAGCCCATTCTGCAGTGTTTTAATCATTCTGAATGTATGAAACACTGTGGACATTTTTAACACAAATAAACATGTTTGTGATTTTCCGTAGCCTATATTGTGATCTCTGTGGAGAAACAGAAACTGATGATGATACAGTGAAAGCAATGAAAACTCAAAATATGTTTACCTTTAATATGAATTACAAAACATGATGACACGGAGTACAACAGATAATAGTAACTGCAAATTATTGCGTCAGGCAATTCATCAATTTGAGTCGTCCTACATTTTTGACACATTAATGAATTTCTTAAGAAAAAAAAATACTACCTTAAATTTTTGAGTACAGACTTACATTAAACTGACTTAAAAATTAGTTAAATCTTGCATGAGAAAAAAAGTTAACTAATTTTGATTAGTTAAAGCAATGGAAACACTTTCATTTTCATTTATTTCAGTAATTCAATTCTGTGAAACTAGACTCATTGCATGAAAAGTGAGATATTTCAAGCCTTTATTTGTTAAAATTTTGACTTTCAGATATGAAAACCTTTTCACAATTTTCTAATTTTGAATTTGGGATTTGCATAAGCTGTAATAAAGGCTTGAAATATCTCACTTTGCATGTAATGAGTCTATATATTAGTTATTAATTACTGACGTTTCAGATTCCGCCTGTATGTTTTACAGCCCAGAGGATTTATTTTATTTACTGTTAATTTGAAAAGGGACAGATACAAAAAAACATACATAAAGAACAATCCGATGCCTGTATCATAGTGTTTATAGCCAAGGCTAATTCGGATTAAACCACAACGAAACCAAAAGAGACGAATGACTTCAGTCGAAGTGTTTCATTGAAAAACATCTTTTATTCTATGGTTAAAGGATCAAGTAGCATGTGTGCTCAACTAGTAGAAAGACATTCTATTGCCGAGGCGTTTCATGATGCCGTGGGGGTCAAAGCCACCGTATAAAACGCCACAAAGCCCTCAGGAATTCACAGCTTTATTATTAAACACTGTAACTGTATTAAATCAACCCTGGCAATAACAGAACATCATCCGTGAACCAGCGTGTTTGTCAAGCCTGGAGTCGTCCTGGTTAAAGTAGTCGGCACGCAGAAGCGAATTACGCTAACCTGATTTGATTTACCCATGCGGGATGGAGCGGGAGGGACGGGGGAATGGAAACCATAGCCCTAAATGATAAAAACCCACCGTGTTAAGACTGAAACACACTCAAATCAAACCGCTCGGGACCGGATCTCTACATCTGCTGCGTGGAGTTGCCGTTCCAGGTGTTGTTGTCGTCCTCGCTGTCTTCCTGAGTCCGTAGTCGGTATATTTTCCCGTCTTTCTTGAAGTCCTCCGGCCTCTTCTCAAGAACCCTCTTACGAACTGCATCTCTGGGGTGGAAAAAACGAGCAGAACTGAGTAGAAATTCCTCTCGCTGACACTCGATGTAGATAATGCTGCGAGCAGCATTTAGCGGGGTTCAAGCATTTTCAGTTCAGTTTTATTTAGTAAGCATTTAAAGGAGTAGTTCACTTTTTAAAAAAAAAAGTTTTGCTGATAATTTACTCGCCCCCATGTCATCCAAGATGTCCATGTCTTTCTTTCCTCAGTCGAAAAGAAATTAAGGTTTTTGATGAAAACATTCCAGGATTTTTCTCCATATAATGGACTTCAATGGGGACCAAACGGTTCAAGGTCCAAAACTGCAAACTGTTCAAAGGGCTTTAAACGATTCCAGATGATGAATAAGGGTCTTATCAAGCGAAATGATCGCTCATTTAATAAATAAAAAAGTTTAAGTTTTATAAGTTCAAATACTCGCCTTGCTCTGTTAGGGTTAAGGTTAGGGTGTGATTCACGTTCGTGACTCTCCTATTCAAACTCGTTCATCAAAATGAACGAATCTTTTCGCGAGTCAACTCCTTGAATGAACCAAATGACACGAAAAAAGATTTGTTCATTTAGATGAACGAGTTCGAACAGGAGATAAAACTTAAACTTTGTTATTTATTTTTTAAATGAGCGATCGTTTCGCTTGATAAGACCCTTATTCATCGTCTGGAGTCGTTTAAAGCCCTTTGAACAGTTTGTACTCAAAGTGTCTTTTGGACCTTGAACCGTTTGGTTCCCATTGAAGTCCATTATATGGAGAAAATCCTGGAATGTTTTCATCAAAAACCTTAATTTCTTTTCGACTGAAGAAAGAAAGACATGGACATCTTGGATGACATGGGGGTGAGTGAATTATCAGCAAAAGTTTTTTCAAAAGTGAACTACTCCTTTAATATGTAGCGAAAACCTGGCAACCGCAGCCACCAGTGTCGCACGCATCATCAAGAATAAAAGCAGCATGAGGTCGACAAAGCAGCGAGGAGGCGTCGTATGATCATGACCAGTGTTGGGTAAGTTACTCTGAAAAAGTAATTACTAATTACAAATGACCTCTTCAACAGTGTAATTAGATTACTGTACTAATTACTCTCTCTAAAAAGTATTTAATTACTTTCAAAATCCCATATCAATCTCAACCAGCTGAATAATACAAGGATAGACATGAATCTGTTTTAATTCTTTAAAATAAATACTATAAAATTGCATGAATTATCCTTAAACTGACCAAGGTGGAGAAGGTTACATTATAAAAACACACTTTTAACATCAGACAATACATTTTGATGTTAAACCCACTATTGTTTTATGTCTGATCTCATGACATTTTACACTTTTTTTCATACATATTTTACAATAATTCGTACGAGTGCGGTCGTAATATTT